GCTGGGTACATAGCAAGCGGAACGTACATTGCTGATCAGCATGGCAGCGTCATCGCAGATGTCCGTGACCCAGATGGAGCACAACATACGCACGTTGAAGCACAGTCCTCTGGTGCAGCACCACGAGTTTGTCAGCATGCTGCGCTCCGTGGACAAGCACGTGCACCGACAGAGCGGCGAGGTGGTGGCCGGAACCGGGCGTGCTGGGCGTACGCAGCGCGAAGAGAACCTCCACGCATTCTACTCCATTCTACTGCGAATGCTCGTGGAGGTCACGCACAATCCCGACGTCAAGCGACAGCGTACGGACCTACGCAAGGTGTTCGACTGGTACGGATCGAACAAAGTCTTGTTCATTGGCAAGACACCGGATACCGGCACCTACAGACCTGTAGCTAGCAACGCGCAGAAAGCGTCGAGCAGAAACCCTACCATGCATGCACGGCCATCGTCCACGACATGGCCGGGTGCCGCAGGGGACGCACCACACTCGTCTTATTCCCGCCAAGTCCCAAGCCGTGTGAACACCTGGGCTACTGTGGGAGGTGGAGAGCCACGCTCGCGTTCGTCCACCGACGGCTGTGTCCAGGAGAATCTACTCGGCAAGCTTATGGTCAAGCAGTTGAATCGTCACCGTGGTGGTGTGGTGCCAGTGCAAACCATACTGAAACCGGCTGCGCCAATGCAATCAATGACACGCGCCGTCAGTGAACCAAGCAGTGGAACTGACAGACGCTCGATATCCAGTGTATCCTCACCCGCTATGGCTGCCAATGCTATAGCTGCCTCCACGACAACAGCCGACGAAGACACCAATGGCAATGGTGAAGATTGTCATGATTCTCCATCAGTAAGTGTATCACCGCACCAGTATCCAGCATCGCAATCACATACATCCGACACACCCAGGCCAGCTTCTGGCACTGGCAATGATGAGATCATACTGGACAGCTACAGTAACATACGACTGTCGACGGACGACCTGCCGATAGCCTTGGATGCTAGCGTTGCCAGAGCAGCAGCGCGCTATAGCCGCTATGCACAAGACGCACATTGGCAGCAGCAACAGCAGCAGCAGCCGCACGACTTGCTCCATCACCATGGCGACACGTACAGTGGTCATGTTCTGCATCCGACGACGCTACCCGACTCGGGTCTTCGCAACACAAACGTCCTGACGGCCGGTCGCGCCCTAGAGCTGGTCGATGATGCCGTGCACATGCTGGCACGCGACGAGCGCAACCATCGCTCTAGCCGACGCTTTTACTCCGAGCTAAGCAAAGCCTCGGCAGCGCGGGCCGCAGAGAGACGTGATGCCGGTATTGGCGAACAGCGGTCGGACAGCTCAGCATGGGATGTGCCAGTGACGGCTCAGAGTATTGGCAGGCAGGACGCCAACAGCTCGGCACTTGATGCAGGTCGAGCCAAGTCTTTGTCACCTGCTGCAAGTCGCAAATCACCACAGTCCCGTCCGGGAAGCAGAGGCAATGCTCAGCGTAACGGAACCAAGTCACCTGTTTTCGGACTAAGTACGCTGAGTTCCACGGAGCTCACCACCGTCAAATTGGAGCTGCCCTCCGCAGTTTCCCCTCCAAAGTCAGCCAGCACGGCTGCCAGGAGCACAGTCACGCGCAAGCCCTATCAGCAGCGTCTCCTTCTCCAACGTAATCGCCCTGGCAGTGCCACGGCACGCCTTGCTTATCCAACCATATCAGTTTCTCACGTCAAGCCCGACGCTGAGAGCGGCAAATCCAAGCGACGGCTGCCGCGTCCTCCTCCGCGCGTCGAAGACATCAACTCGCTCATGACCGTCAACCAACTGGTGAAGGGCAGGACGGGTCGAGGCTATGCTAACGTGACACGTGAACACACGTCAGCTACAGACCAGTTGCCACAGGCCGCGTCTGCCAGTCAATGTCGTATTCTCTACCCTGGAATAATCACTGGAGATAGTGACACTACCGGTAACACGGTACCTAAATACATTGAGCTGGCTGAGAGTAAGGCTTTGGTGTATCGCCTTGGTGACAATGTGCCATCACCACCGGCAACCAGTCAAGTCGACCTCAGCGCGGGTCAGTCGAGTGACGTCGTCTCCAAGCAAGTGTCATTCGTGCATGCACACGAGTCTGCCGTTCTGTCCTATCTAAACAACGAGGAAGGACCGAGCGCACCACCTGCTTCGGCTGCCGCTCTGGCGCGAGGGTCACTGCTTGCCTGCGATACGTCCGAAGTCCATCCTGTCGCTGTAGTTGCCGAGACGGATGTCATGCCAACAGCAGAGGGTTGCGATGCCGCCAGCTCAGAGGCCATGCATCAGAGTGAGGTAGATGTGGACGCTAGTGTGTCGGGTATTCCACGGGTAATGATCAGTAACCCATCGATTGATATTCCATCTTCTTCTTTGAATGTTGATTTGGTGTTGCCCCCGGCCATTGTGAACAAAGAAGGCAAAGATAATGACAAGGACACTGGACAGAGCAGCATGGTGGACACAGCACAGCCATGCCTAAAACCGACATTGCGACGCGGCACTCTCAAGTCGCGAAGCTGCAGCTCCTTGCCCAAAGGCGGAAAGCCATCAGCAGGCAATGCAGCTGGACGTGCCACTGGCGACAACGCATCGTCTTTGCAACGAAAGGTTGGCAAGCAGGGCGCAGCTCGGCACCCACAGAGCATGACAGCAGGCACTGGCGGAGAGTTGAGACCCAAGGAGAAACGCACACTGCTCTCGGCAGGCAGCCGCCTTGCCTCGCACAGCACCAGCAGCATCCCAGCGCCAATATCGTCGGAGTCTTCATCACGATCTTCATCGGGTCCTCGGCGATCTCCGTCACCACGACGACGAATGACCAAGTCGGCCACGCAGGAGGAGGTAGCAAGGCAGGAGAGGGCGGCGCGCGTGGTGCAGACCAACCTGCGCAAGTACCTGCAGCAGAAGAAACGCATGGCCGGTCGACTGGCCACGCACAGCATCCGTACTCAGCAGCAGAGCTGGACGGAGGAGGAGCTGCAACAGCATCGGGAGCGTGACGCACAGCGACGTGACAAGGCAGAAGAAGAGCGCAGGCAACGGCTACACAACATCGCCGTTCACAACAAGTTCAAGCAAAACCTGACCAAAGCGGAGGCGCACAGCGACATAGCAGCCATTTTCAAGCCGAAGTTGCCCACCGCCAAAGAGAAACGGGCAGCCGCCACCTACCTGCAGAAGATTGCTAGGGGATTCCTTCAGAGACGGGCCATGCAGAAATGCTATTTGCTGACCGCCACTCCTGGCATACCGGGCCTGGCCAAATCCATTAGGCAATGCAAGAACCTGTTTGACTTTCTCCGTGCTGAGTTTAACGCTCAAGACTCCACAGGCACTGCCGCCGCTAGCCTTACGTATCGTGAGCTCATGCAGTACCTCAATGATCGCATAGCGTTCGAGAAAGCCTTCAATGTCTCGCTGGCGGACAGTGGCGAGAGTGTTGTTCAGGTGCGGCGAATGAAGTGTGTGTTCAACATGTGTGGCAAGGAGCCGTCCTGGAAGGAGATCCGCAAGTCAGTGCGATGTGTTCTGGCCCTGCGAGATGAACAGTTGAACTCTGCTACCGTGACAAGGGAGACAGCATCAGCCGATATTGCACGCAACCGGACAGTGCCGGACGCTGACCAGGCTCAGGACATTAGTGGTGCATGTGGAAATTCTACTAGCGCACAGGACACCAAGAGCCCCGCAGAGGATGATGTAACGGATGACATCACCAATTCTAATCCAGATTATATACTCGCTGACGAGGAAGTGCTGGGTGAGAGTACGGACCACAGCCACAGCACACTGACATCCTCGTCATCCACATCTGCATCCTCTCAAGTAGACGATGTGCGCTTGGACAAAGAACCGCTCACCCTGGGAGAGTTTGTGATGGTAGCATTTCACATCTACTTGCCGACTGGCAGTGGCATACCACAAACGCACAGCCGCCAATCGACATGGATGAACCCGATTGTGGATGGCAAAGACTCCGGTGCAGTGCATGCATCTCCAATGCTGGACGGTACGAATCTACAGGCATGCCTGGATCTAGTGGCTCAGTCGAGACAAGAGCGCAGTCGACCATCGTCTGGCTAAACATTCAGACTGAGCTTTGACAAGTATGCAGGCGACGAGCAATGGATGATCCCCGTTTTTTACTCTTGTCGCACACTTTACATCATTGATGGCATGTCAGCTTCCCAGCAGGCATTGCTTTCCCGCAAACCCGGTAACAGATAGCCTTTAGCCCCGAATCAATCCGATGATGTTGACAATTGTATCTACATCACTATTATATCTCTCTATACTGAAGAATGGTTGTCTGGTAAATGATTTTCACGACCAGTTCTGCCCTTCTTGCTTGAAGGCATGCACATGTACACGCTAATCATTTTAGTTAACCTTTGTACTCTTGCCAGCCATGAAATATCTCCTCTCGTTAATTATCATAATACATGTAGATGTAGGCCTTGACTCTATTCTTCGACTCACCTTGGGGACTTGAGGATATCTCTTCGACTCGCCTTGGGGACTTGAGGATATCTCTTCGACTCACCTTGGGGACTTGAGGATATCTCTTCGACTCACCTTGGGGACTTGAGGATATCTCTTCGACTCACCTTGGGGACTTGAGGATATCTCTTTGAAGTCTTGATGTGTACATATCCTTCCGACAAACTGACTTTTATCGGTTTGTCGTTGTGCTTTTTTGTAGTGCTTTAAAAGTACATGTAATACAGCCTGCCGCTTGTTCCGATTTTTCTTTAACGCTCCGATTTAAATTGTACCTGTCCTTTCGACAAACCGACCAAAAACAATCTTACTGGGATTGTTTACAAAAGGGCCCTAATCTGTTTTTCAGGCCCTTTAAAAAATCCTACCACTGCTTTGGCTTATAAAGGTAGCACTGCCTCCTGACTACTCACTGGCCCCTGGTCGGGGGACACCCACGGACTCCTTTCAGATTTCTTCCGACAGAAAAGTGGCAGCCCAACCAAGGCCAACAGGGAAATTTTCGACTTTTCGTGTTGCCATTAATTCTGGGTATGTGTTCAAATGCCACCAAGTTTGTCCTAGTCCTGGTTGGAGAGCAAGCACATAGCCACTTCAACACAGATGTGACGAGGATCCACCTATAGGACCAACGAGAGGGAACAAAAAGAAGACTGGTCTACACATTCACAAGGACAAAAATACTAGTGGGATTTTAGGTAGAGGCTACAATTCGTTCACCAGCAACACAACACTAACAACCATTGCTACACAGAGAAAGCAGGGAAAAAAGCAGCGCACACTGAAAATAAGAGCATAATAATTATGAAAGCTTGAAAAGGTGCGCGTGCGCGTGCGTGTGTGTGTGTGGATGTGTGTGTGTATGAGAGAGAGAGAGAGAGAGAGAGAGAGAGAGAGAGAGAGAGAGAGAGAGAGAGAGAGAGAGAGTCAAGAAAGCTATAAAAAAACCAGTGACACACCACTCCAGCAAGTAAATAAAAAGCATATCTTTAAAAAAATTGCAGTGTGTTTCGGCTGAGACCTGATAGGCAACAGAACATCAAGTCAATTCTTCAAGTGCTCAAAAGATATTCCAAACCAATTCCTAACAACAGACATGCCTATCCATAAACAGATGGAGAAAGGGAGAAAGAGAGAGAGAGAGGGGGGGGGGGGGGGGGGGGGGGGGGAGAGAGAGAGATAGGCAAAGAGACGGCCTACGTCGGCCCTGCACACTCTTCTGCCCTTTTCCTGAGAACACTGGCCTCGCCACAGACACCTAGCCGCTAACGCTGAAAACGTCTCAACCTGGCTTCTCTTACGGAAGAGTCGTTGTCTCTATCTAATCTGGTGCTACCAGGTGGTTGTGTATCAGCCGGTGTAGACCAGCTAACATCATGTGTCTCTGATTGTGGTACAACCTCAGGCAGTGAGCAATCTTCCTCCAGGGGTGCTGACGGACGGATGCCTTCGGACGCATGATGCTGCACACCATCAAAGCCTAAAGTGCAGGGGAGACAAGAGTGAACATACATACATACATTAGCACAAATCCACAGATGTACCATGCATACGCACATTAGCACAAATACACAGATGTACCATGCATACGCAAATTAGCACAAATACACAGATGTACCATGCATATGCCCGTTGCAAGAGAAGCACGCAAATCTGCAAATGCACTGGATGCACACCCACTGTTTCCCTCACATTTATAGCAACGATAGCGGATATTATCTGAATGAAACACGCCAAGGCTAGCGCCAGATTACTATTTTTATCCACACAACTGGCGAAGCCATGTGAATCGACCACCCAATGCACACCTGGTCGACCCCACATGGAGTACATCGGAATAGGTCGGCCAAAACAGCTACAATGCACACCCTACACTTGCTGGTGATAGAAGCAGACACTAGGTGCACTGGTGACTCGAAGTGAAATTGTTACTTAACCACTTAGCCTCGGCAACTGAGTACTAGTGCATCGAGCTCACTATGAAGCCGAGACCACAGGTCGGCCGAGTACACTAGGTCTCACTACCCTTTAGCTACTGTAAGACCAGTAAAGTTAACGAACATTTAATTCTAACGAGTTAACGAATTTGAAAGAATCATCAACATTTGAAGTCGTTATGTGCAAAACGATATGTACATGTACAGTCATTTGACGGTTTTGAGACAGAATTCGTTAGAATTTCACCTCGCTAACCCACAAAAATCCGGAGATCGTTCACTTTAATTGACGTTAAAATATCTGGTCTTACAGTACTCAATTCTTACCAGATTGGAGCCTATGGGCACTTGTACAAAACGAGAGAGCTTGGAAGCTCAGGGCCCTACGCTATGCTTTTTTGCCTTGATGACCTAGGCAAAAAAAGCATAGGGATGTTATAACATTTTCATTTCGCCTATTTTTCAAGACATAACCTGGGATTCGAACCCGCACTATCGCCCTGCATGCATCCCCCGATACACTTCGCATACATACTAATTCTTCCAAGGCCGTGATCGTTCGGTCGGATCCAGATCCAGATCCATCGGATCCACTGGATCTGCAATGATCGATTGGTCGAATCCGGATCCAGATCCTCCGGATTTGGATCCGAGCAACCCTGCCCCGGGAGCAGGGTTGACTGGATCCATCGGATCCAAATGCGACCTTTGTGCGTATATGGCGGGTAAAAATCATTTTGTACTCATTGTCGTACGTCTAGTGGACTTTTGTTGACTTTTCGTACGACGCGTGCGCGCGCGCGATCAGTACGACTTTTGCCTTTTTTGGTTGACTTGGCAGCGCCATTTTTTACTTCGTCAACATGGCAACAGCCAAGGTCCGCAAAAAAGTGTTCGGTTGATTCTGAAGGATCCGACGGATCTGAGATTTGGATCTGGATCTGGATCCGACCAAACGATCATAGCCTAAGTTGCTTCACGTTATGATCTTGCATTTGAAAGCCCTATTTGAATATTGTGGCCAGCTGTTTGTAGCCAGCCGTCTTTGATGGTACGGTATGGTACGGGACAGGTACGGTCAAGGGTAATACGACACCGTCTACCACCTTGATGACCTAGGCCAAAAAAAGCATAGGGATGTTATAAAATTTTCATTTCGCCAATTTTTTTCAAGGCATAACCTGGGATTCGAACCCGCACCATCGCCCTACATGCATTCGGATGATTCCCCGATACACTTCGCATTCATACTCATTCTTCCAAGTTGCTTCACGTTATGATCTTGCATTTGGAAGCCCTATTTGAATATTGTGACCAGCTGTTTGTGGCCAGCTGTCTTTGATGGTACGGTACGGTACGGGACAGATACGGGATAGCGCCAGGCGTGACACAAACAAACACCAAATTAAAGCTGTGTGGACCCTGGCTAGCGCCAGACGTTACTGAAGTAACGTCTTCTGCATAGCTACGGGAACGAGAGAGCTTGGAAGCTCAGGGCCCTACGCTATGCTTTTATGCTTTTTTGCCTAGCTCATCGTACGTTATTAGAACTGATGGAAATGTTTTTTTTCTGTTGATTGGCCACATCATTGTATAGGTGGCTATATAGGTGGCTATACTGCTGGCGCTCTTCACACGTCAAAGAGGACACCATTGCATGATTTTTTCCTGTACCATAGACCGCACAATTTCCATGTGCGCAGCTGCAGTAGCATGACGCGAATCAGCACGATTTTAAAAGCCCACATATTAAGCCCCTCCTATGCTCATTTCTTGCATTTGTGTCGTCCGACGTTTCCTGGGACTGGTGCTGACTCTTCCGATCACGGGCGACTCGACGGGATGTCTGTCCTGACGTTTCCTGTGACCGGCGCTGACTCTGCCGATTACGGGCATTCCGGAGTCGACGGGATGTCTGTCCTGACGTTTCCTGCGACCGGCGCTGACTCTGCCGATCACGGGCGATCTGGACTCGACGGGATGTCTGTCCTGACGTTTCCTGTGACCGGCGCTGACTCTGCCGATCACGGGCGATCTGGAGTCGACGGGATGTCTGTCCTGACGTTTCCTGTGACCGGCGCTGACTCTGCCGATCACGGGCGTTCTGGAGTCGACGGGATCCCTCTTCCGACGTTTCCTGTGACCGGCGCTGAATCACCCGTTCACGCTTATTTTGGAGACGACGGGATCTCTCTTCCAAAGTATGTTTTTGCTGACGCATCCTATCACCTATTCGGCGTCTATTCTAATTTAATTTCCTCCTCATCTCCCTATTTCTTTCCAAATCTCCGTCTACATCAGGGAGTCGTATACATAATACGACGAATATTGGTACGGTACGGGACAGATACGGAAGCCAGCAAATATTGTGGACAGCTGTTATGTACAATCCTGTAGAGCCTTTGTAGTCACAGATACGGGACAGATACGGGATAGCTCCAGGCATGACACAAACACACAAACAAACAAACACCAAATTAAAGCTGTGTGGACCCTGGCTAGCGCCAGACGTTACTGAAGTAACGTCTTCTGCATAGCTACGGGAACGAGAGAGCTTGGAAGCTCAGGGCCCTACGCTATGCTTTTTTTGCCTTAATGACCTAGACAAAAAAAAAAGCATAGGGATGTTATAAATTCTTTAAAAAAATCCTTTTTTTTAAGACATAACCTGGGATTCGAACCCGCACTATCGCGCGCCCTGCATGCATCCCCCGATACACTTCGCATACATTTGTTTGTTTGTGTGTTTGTTTGTGTCACGCCTGGCGCTATCCGTATCTGACGGCAAAAAAGCATAGGATGTTATAAATTTTTCAATTCTCCTATTTTTTTTCATGCATATCCTGGGATTCGAACCCGCACTATCGCCCTACATGCATTCCCCCATACACTTCGCATTCATATCCATTCTTCCAAGTTGTTTCACATTGTGATCTTGCATTTGAAAGCCCTATTTGAATATGCATTGTGGCCAGCCGTCTTTGATGGCACGGTACGGTAGGGGATAGGTACGGGGCAGGTACGATCGAGGGTAATACGACACCGTCTCCCGTACCGTACCGTACCATCAAACACAGCTGGCCACATACAGCTGCCCGCAATATTCAAATAGGGCTTTCAAACGCAAGATAATAACGTGAAGCAACTTGGAAGAATGGGTATGAATGCGAAGTGTATGGGGGAATGCATGTAGGGCGATAGTGCGGGTTCGAATCCCAGGATATGCCTGAAAAAAAATAGGAGAATTGAAAAATTTATAACATCCTCCTTTTAAACGCAAGATAATAACGTGAAGCAACTTGGAAGAATGGGTATGAATGCGAAGTGTATGGGGGAATGCATGTAGGGCGATAGTGCGGGTTCGAATCCCAGGATATGCCTGAAAAAAATAGGAGAATTGAAAAATTTATAACATCCTATGCTTTTTTGCCGTCAGATACGGATCGCGCCAGGCGTGACACAAACAAACACACAAACAAACAAATGCCAAATTAAAGCTGTGTGGACCCTGGCTAGCGCCAGACGTTACTGAAGTAACGTCTTCTGCATAGCTACGGGAATAAAAATAATTAAAGAGTACAGGAAACCCGGAGCACAGTCGCATGTCTCAACTTACCTATAGAGTTCGGCACGTCACCAGATCTTGCATTAGATCTGTTCCCATCCAGACTCTGTAAGATAGCTTCTTGTACCAGCGGGTCACACTCCGCATTGACGGAGGACTGGGTTGACGTAGACGGTGTGTGCTCGGCTTCCGACAGGCTGCTAGCCATGGCCAGATCCATGTCGTCCTGGTCAAAGCCGGAGTGGGAGCGTGCGTAGGCTGCTGGCCGACGTGGGCTGTTGCCGCCATCATTAACACTGCCGGTAGAGTAGCCTGCGTCGGGAGGTGCAGTGGTAGTGACGGCCGGGGCATTGTCATGTGCCGACGATCGCGTCCCACGGTGACGGGTACTCGTACTGAGCGGCGGCAAGCCTATTCTGTTCTGCTGCTCGTAGCGTGACAGGGCGGCCGTGCGTGCTCGCGTCTGCACCTCGCGGTCTGCGGGAGACAGGCTTGCTGCCAGCGCTGCACTGTATTCGGCCGTGTAACGCTCATCGTCAGAGTCTGGCTCTGTACGACTGCGGCCTCCACCATTTCCAGGTCGGCGTTGCTGCCATCGCAGGCCTTGCCCCCTGCCTAGCACAGCTGTATGGGACACAAGCAAAGGACACTGGCTTTGCGATCTTGGGACTTGGGAGAATATCCAGTAACAAGACCATCTACTAGGGGTGAAACGGTTCCATGTTTTTCATGTTCGGGTACCCGAATGCCAGCATTGTTTCCCACGGTTCGGGTATCGGTTCCATGCACTCTTTTCTCCAGACCGACAAAATGCGTTCGCGACAATTATTTTTTAGAAAAAACATTTTCACGAACAAGATCGAGAGTCCAAGTGCGAAGAAGATAATGACCAGAGAACTCTTTGGAAGAGTGGGGATCGTAAGGTAAGGCATTTAAAATCTTGAGTAGACTTGACGTGTACATGTATTTGTACAAGAACGAGATTTTTCGAGTTTCGGTTCGAAATTTGACGGAACGGGTACCCGATTCTTTTCAGCTGGCGGTTCCAAAACCGGTTCCTTACCCGAACCGTTTCACCCCTACCATCTACTACATTTCGGCCACATGACCAGTTCTGCTTGCATGGCACAACAAGAGTTGATGTGATGCTTGCGATCCTTACGTACAGTGTATCACACTTTGATGCCGCTCTACTGCATTCCCTGATGCTGACCGCTTCAATGCACCCCCCCCCCCCCCCCCCCTGAATCCCATCATACTACTGAGTATCCCCCCCCCCCCCCCCCCCAATTACCTTCACCAAGAAGTCACTGCATGCCTTGGGCACATTATAAGAAGATTTTAGGGTCTGTTGGGAATGCCCAAGTAAAACTTAGAATTTTTCTCCCCGGTTTTAGACAAATCTAAAGGGGGGACCTGAGCCAGAGTTAGTGCGGTGACAGCCGGATCAACCGGACCGGTTCCGGCAGCCCTGCATCTTGTACATGACATGGCGGGTCAACATGCCCTCCTCAGCAGTAAACACTCGTTGGTGGCCCAAAAAGGCAAAAACAATACTTTTTTTAATTTGTCCGGACATGGCCTGACCCAACCGACTGGTTCAGTCGGGCCTGGGAGTGGACAGAATTAATTTCGGGATGTGCAAACTGCAAAGCCCTCCTATGCGCTTACCATTCATGATCTTGCGCAGCAGGTTGTCTCCGTCAAGCTTGACGTAGGCAAGACCAACTAGAATACCGGCCAGGTGACCTAAGAAAGACGCATTCGGCATGATGAGAGATATGACAAACAACTCCACCCAGACGGCAAGGCGAGCAGGCACGGAGAGGAATCCAAACACGGCGATGCGCGACGTGGACGGCATGCGGCGCGTGGTCAGCACCTTCAGTGCAAAGATCACACCCGAGTAGCCGACCGCGCCTTGGTGCAGGATTTGAAACGCTTGATGCGGCTGCATTAACGACCACGCGTACTTGAGAGCAACGTATACACTGCTGGTCAAACCTACAAACACGGCGTTCAGAAGGAGAAAGGCCGGCGTGCCCAGCGCCGGCTCCAGTGTCTTGCCTTTCCACAGGAACGACGCCATATTGTAATAGAGATGCCATTCGTCACCGTGAAAGAAGGGTGCGAGGAACAGCCGCTTCCAGTCGTGCATGTACCACACGTCGTACACATTCACATTCGCCTGCGTGACGTGCCAGGGCAGCGAAAACGGGCGAAGAAACACGTACGCGTTCACGCCAACCAGGCCCAGAGTGGCAGCGGGCACTCCTGAAAAGCCACCCATCTGAACAATTTGACCTAGTAGGAGCAGCAGACCAAGCCCGCCACGTCCACCGCGACGCCTCTGAAACATCTTGTAGATTGATTCGATTCAGAAACAGCTGTGAAGACAGTACTTCGGAAAGAACACGGGCGTAGGTTTGATACAAGCAGGCCTGCCTGTCGCCTACTTTCAAACATCCATTGTCGACGACGAACGCCTTTTTTCTTTCCACAAATGCTAGTATACAATCTGATGGCAGTGGTTGAAGAAATACTGAACACCTTTCTAGATCTAGTGCTGGCCAACACTACATTGCCATTGGCGATAGTGCTAGTGACTACACTCTACTCACTCGTGCTAAGAAATACTGAATACTACTCCTATTCTTGCTTTCCATACTGTTTCTCTCTCTTTCTCTCTCATTTTTGCTTCTTGAACTTTCTTCGCTTTTGAATTTTCAATCAACGCTACGTCATGTCACGTCAGAAGTCCGTGATAACGTCATTACTTTTTTTGAATTTTTTGTCCTGCCAATTACTAGTACGTCATCCTCTGTCGACATGTCCTGCCATAACAGTGCTATTCGCAGGTCGAGCCTGTACAATCGTCATGTACCGTGTGCAACAGCTCTCAGTCTCAGCTGCTCTGCTCCTCTATTAGGGACTTCAATTGAAAAATCAAATTGGCGAGTTTTGCATAAAACGCTAGTTTTTCTAAACCGGGAAGAATCGAGAAACAACCTGTGAAAAATTGAACCCAAAATTCCAAGGCAATCTAGAGTTATAGTCGATTGAAGATCGGAAAACGGGGGAGAAAGTAGTCACAGAAGTAAATGCAAGTATGTATGGGAGCCGTGTGGTTTCCGTCCAGCACTGCACTATCTGGTGCATACATGGCGATACAGGATGTGTGCATGCATGCAGTGTGCACGCATGCCGTGCGCGCCGACTTGCACAAGTCACACGTTTTCACCGTCACTGCTTCTACCAGTGTGCGCGCAGTTCACTCGATTTTTTCGTCTACCACCAGGAAATCGCCGTGGGCTGGTTTCTGTGATCATTTTCCTTCTACGGCGATAAAGCGCGAGCCTCAATGTTGTAGAATCCTCTTGGTTTAGGCTAATTCGAGGCCGCTGAACACGAAAATCGGGTGTTCCTCGCGAAGCCGAGTACGGATCTGGTCGAAATTAGTACTTCGAAGTGCACCCGCGCCAAGCGCGGAGGCATTATTTTTGGAAGCATGGCATGTGTGGCACCATTGGAAAGGTAATGACCTCAGCTACCTAAAAATAGCATCGACAAGGCCGAAAAGGCCGCGGGAGAAGATACTCGGGCCGCGAACTGCATCTCGAACTGCAGCCACGAGGCGCCCATTCACTTTGTACAGGCGAGCTGTGACTGCACTTTTCGCTTTTCAGTGACCGGAACTGAACTCCCTACCTCTATTGCACTATGTTTGTATGTAAAATGCTCCTGCAGCGACCACCCCACTCCCCAGCCCTGGGTTGTAGTGAATGTACAGTGTGTAGTACTAGCAGTAAAACTAATCAGTCTTTGTCTCGAATACAAGTATCTCTCTCTTCTCGAATTCCGAGAATATAAAACAACAACGGCAACAACAACCGTGACTGACCGTGTTTCTCAAAAACGGCTTTATAGCCGGCCGGAGGAAAAGCAGATGTGCGAGCTTTATAATTATGTCTCTTTTCTTTATTTGTTACATCTCCAATATCCAATCACCAATACTGAATTGTTCATCTGTCCTGTTACATACGCAAAATTATAGGCAAGAGATCTGCCAAACTCTATCTGCTCACGCGAGAGCCACGCGTAGACTCATGAATAAAGTTAGCAGCGAAAGCCCTGCTGCAGCCGGCACACACTTGCCATGGCTGCAAGGGAAATACACAGCAGACACAGCAGGCGCGGGAACAGCAGCAGCAGTGGAAGCAGCAGATAGCTGAGTACACGCAGGCTACACGTCAGCGCATGAGACTGCGGTGACACTATGACTGCAGTGCAGGAGTGAGTCAGCACGTACTCGTATGTAAGGTAAGCAAGACCCAAGTTGACTATAGTACGAGTGGCGAGTGGTCACATACAGTGATGAGCACTCCAACAACATAGGAGCATACTGCGACTTGGTGGGACAACCCCACACGGAGCGGTGGCAGTGACTGAGGCAAGGTGGCAAACTCTCTAGAGACAATCATGTTCGGTATTCGTCCCGCAAATAGAACACAGCTAGGTCATCGTCATGACTACAGACCACACAACTGGCACAGTTTGCATCCTATAGCCACGACCGCTGCATGCACTTGGTCACAGTACAGCACACGATTCAGCACACTCCTACCAGCTAGGAGTTACAGTTGGCACCCGGCGACGCTCCGGTTGATCATAGCCATGGTGACGCACACCCACCACTGTCGGAGCAACACGGGCTGGAGCACCATGGTTGCCTATAGCAACGGCGAAATCTCCGGCAGCTCAAGTAGCAGCAGAGAGATGACACGTGCACTTCACAGCAGTGTTTGAGATTGGTTAGCTTGAGGGGCGGTAGCCTGTAGTACACAACGACAGCATGATAAACAGAAGTAAGAAACAAACAGATACAATGTATAGTGTACCGGTACTCGAAATTTCAAAATATTTAGGTGGTGACAATTTTAGGTATGAGGGCAAAAAGCCAGGTTAGGTGGACAGAACATTTAGGTACAGAGAGGGAGTCCCCTATTGGATTATGCACAATACAACTTTTGCGGCGCGACACGCAATTTGCGACAGTTGCGACAAGAAAATGCCTGTCGCAGACTGTCGTGTACAGTCGCAAGGCACCTGTCGCAGAAAGTTGAAGAAAGTTTCACTTTTGTGACATGCGGCACACGGTGTACACACATGGAGTGCAGTTTCTACCCTGGGTGCACGTGCAGTGCAAGTGCATAGTACTACTAGTGCATAAGGATGTCGCAAACACCAAAAAGATTGCGAACCGCGTGTCGCTGCCGCAGCTCTTCGCAGGTGTCGAATGTCGCGTGGCAAAAGTTGTATTGTGAATCCGCCTTCAGTGTTTGTTCGGTTATTGAAATTTTAGGTACGAAACAGACGCACCGAAAGTACCGAAAATTTGTGAAATTACAGTGTACTAGAACTTCTCGCAGTACCATAGGTGTGCCTATCCTGTCGATTTTTAGGAGATTCTCCGAAGCTCTCCAACCACTCCGAACGTCGGAGGTGGTTGAAACTTGGAGATTTTTGTGTTAATGGATCTACGTATGCGGACGGCTACAAAATACATGTGTTTTCCTTTTCCAAGATACGACAAAAAAACATATACTAGTAGATATACATGCTCATGTCCCTCAAGGCTGTGGCCTGTTTGGTGTTTTACACTCGAGACCAACATCGAAATACAGTCAGACCTCGCTTATCCGGTCCTCTTTTATCCGGATCCCTCACCATCCGGAAGAAAATAGCTGGTTACAGATTTACAGCATACGTGTTGCATCCAACATAACCGGTGTTTGGTTATCCGATTCCCTCGGCAATCAGGATATTTTTTTGGAAACGGATGTGTGCGGCTAAGGGAGGTCTGACTGTACAACAATGCACACACTAGTCTTTGAATCTTCCCATTTCTTCGTCTTCAGAGAGAAATTTCCCCAAGAACCATTAGCAGAAAATCAGAACGCATGGCAAGACTGGAGATCACTCACCACTGGCATTGAGCTTCGGTCGCAGAGCTTGCAAGCTGATCGGAATTGCTTCCTACGAGTCCGCACACAACGAATCACAACAACACCCAGCAAGTCACATTGGAACTCACATTAACACACAAAACAAAACAGGGTCAATGCAACGGCAGTGCGAAGAGCCGCAACTTTCAAGCACCGTTATCGCCTGACAGCATGGGTGATTGCAGGCTAGCAAAACAGTTTACACTCCAGGGGCGTAGGAGGGTAATTTAGGTTGGTACGATCAGCCATCTGAGGTACAGCTTACTTGTTGGGAGCGGTGGCTCCGGTGAATTGTTTTGGAAATTTAGAGTCCAAATCAGCGCTTTTTATTGATTCATGGGGTACCTGGGGCAAAACGTGGTACGGTCAATACCGTAGTGACCGTAGCGTGTCCGACCGCCCTGCACTCATCCTAGTCGGAGAAAATACAAGAAGCCCACTGTGCGAGACAACAATGAAGCGGAATTCACAGAAGCGTTTCTGCGGTGTACGATGCGGCACGATCTGCGATGCCGAAGTGCGATGCTAACCACTAACCAGCAAAATACCATTCACAGAAGAAACTAGCAATGCGGTGTAACCTGACTGATGTGCCTCTGGTACAGCGTGTGCGAGTACAAATCTGCCAGCAAATAATGAACCTAGCGTACAATCTTTGCTGCAAAGGTCCAAATAGCACATTGCATCGCATCCCAAAAGTTGAGCCAAACTCAACTTCTGCGATCAGCCATTTGCCATGATTGCATGAGGTGCATGGTGAGGTGGGATTTGGGAGAGAGAGAGAGAGAGAGAGAGAGAGAGAGAGAGAGAGAGAGAGAGAGAGAGAGAGAGAGAGAGAGAGAGAGAGAGAGAGAGAGAGAGAGAGAGAGAGAGAGAGAAAGAGAATGTGTGTGTGTGTGTGTGTGTGTGTGTGTGTACATATACATGAAGTACGTCAACAGAACCATTACCTCTGTTCGGATAGTCATGCTGCCCTGCTCAGGACAGGTGTTGAAGTAGAGATCGAACAGTTTACTGACATCATCCACTACCAGCATCTCATCAGCTTCCAAGCTATACTCCAGGCCTCGAACACCACCAAACACTATCAACACATGCCTGTGGAAATTCAGGATGGGGGTACAACAGATGCACAGAATTATATACACACATACACACGCACACTCATGTACACACATGCACGCACACAAACACACACACATGCACACACACACACATACACACACACACACACACATGGTCGCACACGCACACACGCACACACGCACACACGGTACAATCCAGCTACTTTCAATTGAAGATAATGCTTATCAAACTACAGTCAAACCTCTTTAGGACGAACATCAAGGGACCGATGATATTTCTTCGCAAGAACGGGAGTTCTTCTTATCCATATGTTTTACCCAGTGAATACACAGGGTTTTATCCAATACAGTTACGAATACTAGTTCTTCTTAGGCAAACATTTTGTCTTATCCGTGTTCTTCCTAACGAGGTTTCACTGTAGAAAGAAAAAAAAGAGTAAAGTTAGCCGGATTGGCGGCCGCATCACCTGACGTGTTTAGGAACACATCAAGCAAATACATTCACATCGGCGGGCCACCACTTCACCCATATATCCTTAGTGTCGAATGCAGACCTCACAAGCGAGTCAGGGGGGAGGGGATACGTCTCTCAACAAGCGGGTGTGTAAAGGCCCTGTAACCCCATAAACATCCTTGTTACCCTCACACCAAGCAAGTGAGTACCAGTTCACCGTGGGTGTCGGCCACAGTTCATTGCATGTAAAGCAAACTTCGTGATACAGCGAACCGCTGTCCATGTCCCAGTTTGAACCCACAGTGTAAGTTCATTTCTCTTATAACAAACTTTGGCTATAGAGAACTACAGTCAACTTTGCTCATAACCACTGCGGATATAACGACAATTCGCGAATAATGACAGCATTTCCATGCCCAGAGCAAAGTCCATTCTACCTGTATACATATAATGAGACTTCGAGTATAACGACACTTCGCGAATGGGGACACTTTTCTGATGCCCGGCCGAGTGTCGTTATACGGAAAGTTGACTGTAATTCTCCTGCGCAACGGTGTTCGCTAGAATTATCAGGAGTCGACTGTTGGGTAGGTACCTAGGCCATGAGCGGACCAACTTGCTGGCCACCAACGTGTGTTTACTGCTGAGGGAGGTTATGTATACCCACTAGCATACACTAAGTAGGAAAGGGCTATTGTATGGCCAGAGCAACGGAGCTGGAAAAGCCGCATCCATTTTCTCTGGCCAGAGTACTGGTAGTATCACACACAGACTGTGTGCTGTGACAGGAACACCCTGCTATAGTGCAAGAAAAGACATTGCAACTGGGGATATGAAATCAAAAACTGCTTCCGGCAGCCCTGTGCTACATGATTAAGGTTTGGTCTCCACCACACATAACCGCTGAGTTGAGCTGCACAGGTCATCATCTCACACTGCTCACTGACTGATTCACAGCTGCAGCTACATGAGCCCACAACCTGTACGCGTCCCACACGCACAGGTGTGTGCTGCTTTCTCTTCACCAGACATGTATGCTAACTGTGACTTCCAACTGTATTGCCAGCTGCTGGTTCTACATACACCGTAACATGGTTCATTGGATACAGCACTGTCGGCTGCCGAAAAACGAACAGGCAAGAATTTCACCAAGCACAGCATACTCAGGCATACACGGTGACTCAACTGTGCATAGACCATAGTACATGTACATGTACATGGAAGAACAGCCTAGGCTAGGGGACTGATACAGCCTAGGCTAGGGGACTGATACAGCCTAGGCTAGGGGACTGATACAGCCTAGGCTAGGGGACTGATACAGCCTAGGCTAGGGGACTGATACAGCCTAGGCTAGGGGACTGATACAGCCTAGGCTAGGGGACTGATACAGCCTAGGCTAGGGGACTGATACAGCCTAGGCTAGGGGACTGATACAGCCTAGGCTAGGGGACTGATACAGCCTAGGCTAGGGGACTGATACAGCCTAGGCTAGGGGACTGATACAGCCTAGGCTAGGGGACTGATACAGCCTAGGCTAGGGGACTGATACAGCCTAGGCTAGGGGACTGATACAGCCTAGGCTAGGGGACTGATACAGCCTAGGCTAGGGGACTGATACAGCCTAGGCTAGGGGACTGATACAGCCTAGGCTAGGGGACTGATACAGCCTAGGCTAGGGGACTGATACAGCCTAGGCTAGGGGACTGATACAGCCTAGGCTAGGGGACTGATACAGCCTAGGCTAGGGGACTGATACAGCCTAGGCTAGGGGACTGATACAGCCTAGGCTAGGGGACTGATACAGCCTAGGCTAGGGGACTGATACAGCCTAGGCTAGGGGACTGATACAGCCTAGGCTAGGGGACTGATACAGCCTAGGCTAGGGGACTGATACAGCCTAGGCTAGGGGACTGATACAGCCTAGGCTAGGGGACTGATACAGCCTAGGCTAGGGGACTGATACAGCCTAGGCTAGGGGACTGATACAGCCTAGGCTAGGGGACTGATCCACCAGTTCTTCGGAACTCGACAGTGCTGTAGAACCTGATCATTTGCTGTCCTTACTTGAAGGTGGGAAGTTTGCCGACTTTGTCAATCGACTCGCCACGCTCCGACGTCCCAATGGTCAGGTCATAGCCACCCTGACGACATAAACACACATACACGTACACACGCACACACACACACACGCACACACGTACACACACACACACACACGTGCATACACGACCACCACCGTGTATGCCCATATCAAGAGAAGCATGTAAATCTTCAAGTGCACTGCATGCATATAATACCAGCTGATATTCTCTGAGAATAATGACCGTAAAGCACACACACACAGACATGCACACACACAGACACACACACACACATACATGTGTGTGTGTGTGTGTCTGTGTGTGTGTGTGTGTGTGTGT